AGTGATATGACAAGAAAGGATTGTCATAAACTCATCACTGTGACGTATTTGCACCGTATTTTTGACTCTATTGGCCAGGAAGAACTTTTCAGGTCACTCCCATCTGAATCCCCCCAAAATACCTCTTGATAGATACGCTTAGTCGCTAGACTGTGTGCAATTCCAAACGATTCTCCTGGAAAACATTCCACAGCGCCAACAAAGTTCGTCGTTTTATTATTTTTTTTTTAGATTCTAGAAAAAAATCACACGAAACGACCATCTTATTTTTCCTCTTGCAATTAGTCATTCGTTTTACTTACTTGATCTATTAAGTACGTAATTGCACACTTTACAATATAAAGTTTGCAAAATTAAAACTGTTTTTAATCATAAATTTCTGATTTTTCCTTACTGAAATTATGGCGCTGAATTTTTATATTGTTGAATTCACTTAAATTTCGAAGCAGAAAGCTATCAGTTTAAAATAACTTGTTTGTCTGACAATTTATTGGAGAAAAGAATAAAATAGGCAAACACTTCCTCCGTTCTGGAGAGTGGGTACTTTTTTGATAAAAATATGTTTGCAATTTCATATTATATTAATAATAACTATGATTAAAGGTGGGTAAGGTAGGGAATTCAACCTGCTAAAGTAAGTGCTGGTTTAAAGAAACCAAAACTAAGTGCAATACTGAATCCAACTTTCAGCATGTAGAATTTAAAATTTTAAGAGCAGTTACCAGTGTAGCATCCAAGTCTGTAGAAATTCTTCAACACAGTCTGTGCGGAATTCCAAGCTGGAGATACAAGAAACGAGCCTCAAAAACAAATTTTACTCTACAAGGACACAATCCTGCAGAAGTTTTAAATGAACTGTATACGGGATCTCAGTCTGTAGATATTCTAAAGCTAACTCCGTGGACGTGGAAATTCTACTTTGTAAGCAAACCTTACGCTCGGAACCGCAGTCTGAAGATTCTATTCAAAACGAACTTTACACGTTGCCGTAACTAGCTATATACTACAGGTATACGTGGGAGTTCTATTGCCAACTTTACGCGGGACTGCAACATGTAGAAATTCTAAAGCAATTATAACGTAGCCTACGCGTAGAACAGCCTTTCTATAACAAACTTAGGTGAAAGACCAGTCAGTTCGGGGCTTAAACTGCATCAAGTGTTGAAACAATCTCTCAACGAATCTCGTGACTTGGAGAACTGCCATTGGACCGTTTGGACAACGCATCCTGTTACATCGTCTCTTCGTCGAATTTGCTCACAATGAAACTAAGATAACGTGAGTGTTGTATGTTAGGAAGAAGTAGATAGTCCAAGAAACCAGAAAATAGGATGTGCGTTACACTACCTCCAAAGTCCAATATAGAAGAAGCCTAAAAGGGGCTAGACGCAATACCAAGCTAAAGAAATTCCTAAGCAAACCACTAGGTGGACCCCTGTGACTCGCGTCAGATATCACTACATTTTATTTTTTAACCACCATGAAATTTTATTAATGCATGCACACATAAATTTTCAAAAAAACGCACCTTGTTATTTCTTCCACGCTTTTTTAAAATTGTTCGTGATTCACGATGGGTGTGAACAAGTAATACCGCCNAGCCCCCCCCCTTCCGTTCGTAGCCCGCGAAGAAACTGTAACATGCCTTGAATTTTTATTAAAATGAAAGAAATCCTTTTCTTAACTTGTAATTTTCCCAAGAGCATCTTCGCAGTGGGGGGCTGGCAGAGAGGCGAAAAGAGAAAAAAATTACCTTTTAATCCTCCTAATTTTCTAAATATTCTGAAAAAGCTCGTGCGACAGAAATTTAAGTGAATGAATTTGAATGGCGAATTTGACCTCGTATCGGAAATGCAATAAAAATTCATTTCATGGATTATTTGGCTTCAACAATTCGCCCCTATGTCCTTAACTGTTTTCCTTGTATTTGGCGTTTGCGACACCATTCATAACAATCTACATTACAGGTTTTAATGCATTTTACGTCAACCGTAGCTTGTATTTTTATCTAATTCTCCGGATGCTTTCTGTATATTATAAAATATGGATGCGTACCCTGAGTTTCATAAATCGCTGAAAACTCCTTACTATCATCAGCATACATTTCTCATACTGGAGACGGTAAAGGCAGGTTGATATAACATAGGAATCCCCAGCATCCTCTGAGCCTCAGGGTGAAACTGGTGACGTCAGAGGCATGCTGATTGTAGAGGATTCCCAGCGACCCCTGCAACCCAGGGGTGGAAGAGGGGGACCAGACAAAGAACCAGATAGCTCCCCCACTGTGGTACAATCAATGTTTTACATACACGCACGTGTGGTTAGCCTAAATTTAACCAGCGAGAGATGCTTAAAATGCAAAATAAATCATTTTCTTCAAATTAAATTTCAAGTGTCGTAGGCCTACCACTTCAGGCAATGTTGTATATGGTTGTATACATCACCGCGGGCTTTTTTCGGTTCATTTTAATGTTAACGTCCCAGAGCTAGTATATATCTGATGTGAACATCGTTTATATTGGAGTGATATTGTTTAAGGCGGAAGGGGAAGGGGCGGCATAACGTATTAGACCGAATATAACTAATTTGAAAAGGACTGTTTTAGGATATTTTTGTTGCACTGGATATACTGATGCTTTTTGCTAATACTTAAAACCAATCGTATGTATTTTTGTGATGCTCTGCTGATAAGAGGTGTTCAAACAACTGATGTCACAATGACGCTGAAGAGATTGCCAAAAGTTATTAAAACACGATTAAACATCTGTTTTCATGTATTACTAAAAACAAAAAGGAAAACCCGAAAAGTGTTTTGGAAAAATATTCCCAAGCAAATGTCAACTCTATAAACTGTTTTTATATCTCAAATGAATGCTACGTACATTCCAATAAATGATGTAACTATATACTGTACATGTATTCATGTATGCATATAATTATATATATATATATATGATCAATGTTTGTCTTTTTCATAAGTGAAAAAAGTGACCCAAAAATGTACATTTGTTTAGCAATTTTGAGCGTAAAGATCAATAAATTCTCCTTGGGCAGGAGAGACCTACACACAAATAATAATAGTGATAATAATGATGAATAATTAAATGAAAATAAGAAAGGAGAAAAGAATGAAAATAGAAACATTGCCTCTGCGATAAAAAATGCGTTTCAAAGTGATGTGAAAGGAAAGGATTATCATAAACTCGTTAATTCGCTAGAGTGAAATGAAGATATGTGTGTGTGTTTTTTTAGAGCATTGAGACGTATTTGTATCGTAATTTTCACTTTATTGGCCGGGAAGAACTTTTCAGCTCACTCTCATTTGGATTCCTTGAAATCCCTCTTGATAGATACGCTTAGTCACAAGACTGTGTGCAATTCCAAACGATTCTCCTGGAAAACATTCCACAACGCCAACAAAGTTCGTCGTTTTATCATTTTTTTAGATTCTAGAAAAAAATCACACGAAACGACCATCTTATTTTTCCTCTTGCAATTAGTCATTCGTTTTACTTACTTGATCTATTAAGTACGTAATTGCACACTTTACAATATAAAGTTTGCTAAATTAAAACTGTTTTTAATCATAAATTTCTGATTTTTCCTTACTGAAAGTATGGCGCTGAATTTTTATATTGTTGAATTCACTTAAATTTCAAAGCAGAAAGCTATCAGTTTAAAATAACTTGTTTGTCTGACAATTTATTGGAGAAAAGAATAAAATAGGCAAACACTTCCTCCGTTCTGGAGAGTGGGTACTTTTTTGATAAAAATATGTTTGCAATTTCATATTATAACTATGATTAAAGGTGGGTAAGGTAGGGAATTCAACCTGCTAAAGTAAGTGCTGGTTTAAAGAAACCAAAACTAAGTGCAATACTGAATCCAACTTTCAGCATGTAGAATTAAAAATTTTAAGAGCAGTTACCAGTGTAGCATCCAAGTCTGTAGAAATTCTTCAACACAGTCTGTGCGGAATTCCAAGCTGGAGATACAAGAAGCTAGCCTCAAAAACAAATTTTACTCTACAAGGACACAATCCTGCAGAAGTTTTAAATGAACTGTATACGGGATCTCAGTCTGTAGATATTCTAAAGCTAACTCCGTGGACGTGGAAATTCTACTTTGTAAGCAAACCTTACGCTCGGAACCGCAGTCTGAAGATTCTATTCAAAACAAACTTTACACGTTGCCGTAACTAGCTATATACTACAGGTATACGTGGGAGTTCTATTGCCAACTTTACGCGGGACTGCAACATGTAGAAATTCTAAAGCAATTATAACGTAGCCTACGCGTAGAACAGCCTTTCTATAACAAACTTAGGTGAAAGACCAGTCAGTTCGGGGCTTAAACTGCATCAAGTGTTGAAACAATCTCTCAACGAATCTCGTGACTTGGAGAACTGCCATTGGACCGTTTGGACAACGCATCCTGTTACATCGTCTCTTTGTCGAATTTGCTCACAATGAAACTAAGATAACGTGAGTGTTGTATGTTAGGAAGAAGTAGATAGTCCAAGAAACCAGAAAATAGGATGTGCGTTACACTACCTCCAAAGTCCAATATAGAAGAAGCCTAAAAGGGGCTAGACGCAATACCAAGCTAAAGAAATTCCTAAGCAAACCACTAGGTGGACCCCTGTGACTCGCGTCAGATATCACTACATTTTATTTTTTAACCACCATGAAATTTTATTAATGCATGCACACATAAATTTTCAAAAAAACGCACCTTGTTATTTCTTCCACGCTTTTTTAAAATTGTTCGTGATTCACGATGGGTGTGAACAAGTAATACCGGCGGTGACTGAATGGACGTCTAGCAAATATATAGGGTCTCAGCCACGTGACCTGGGTTGTACTCTCCCTCCTTGTTTTACGACCGCAAAAACCAAAACAATGCGCGGTATGGAGCTATCGTTTGCCAAAAATCTCACCCTTCGGTTATCTCATTCAGCTTGAAAGAACCTGGGCTGCACCAGCGCCCTCTTTCAGGGTCAAAAGGAACTAAATTCGTACGCTAATCCCCATTCATAAAGTTACACTGAAAGGCCAAGGCTATTTGTGATCAGCCACCCACGCGGGATTTTTGTGGTCACAAGGACCTCAGGGGTACGAGGCAGGAATTTTATACACCTGACTAGATCTAGCACGTGCTCAAGATCTCTCATTAGGTGAAAAATTGCGCTCAAAAGCTTCAGAACGAAGAGAAAACCGAGGAAAGCGAGCACCACGTTTTCTCTGTGAAGACTTGACGTCGGGGCAAGCAGCTCAGAATACATTGGGGTCAAGCCGAGTCGGGAAATTTTCGCCCGAGCGTCCAATCTCAGCTCCGCGGCCAGCTTAGGTCGATTGACCGTCGGAGAACAATCAATAATCTTGTCAGCTATCGGATTAAACAATGTCAGAACCGCAGGCCTCGACTACCCAACCGCCTTCTGAGGGTACCCCGACTGAGCCCCCGCCGAAAAGACCCCGTGGAAGACCGCGGAAGCCACCGCCGGCCGAGGTATGCAGGCCTCCCAAATTTTCTTTTCATCTCACGCCGATTAGTGGGGCTTATGTTTGCCCCAGTGGTCGCAGTATTATGAATATAGCAAAGCCTTGGTCGCTCACTAGCTGCGTGCTTTGCAATGTGAAATCTATGCAAGGCACTTTAACTGACCTAGTTCCCATGTCAACATTGCAGCGTGCATGCTGCATGAACGGGATGAATGCGTTGCTCCTTGGAATAATTTATTTTTCATTTCCGTGTCGTTTCAGCCGATAGAGCCCAAGCCCAAGCGACCCAGAGGGAGACCCAAGGGGAGTAAAAATCGCCCAGTTTTTAAGGCACCGACGGTGAGTTTGCGTTGATTTTTCGCTCGGGTCATTGACAGTTCGCAGTCAGCTGATCGTTGGCTGTTTCGTGTTCGCTCAACTTACATGCAGTGGAAAATACCGTTCTGCATATGCTGACGGTATTTTTTTAAGCGGGGTCAAAGAATTACACACTGCTAAAACGCGAGGGGTGTAGGGAAATTTCTGCGGCTTTACGTTGCAGCATAATATGAAATTCTGCAACATTTATGTAACGATTTCTTTTCCAACAAAGATCGGAGGTATTTTTTATTTATTTATGTAACCTCAGTAATTTATTACAAGGCGCTTTGCATACATGTAGCTTTCGATGAAGGAGGCAAAGTCAAAAGGAACTTGGATCTGTAGACGTTCGTAAAGGTATGGAAAGTCCAACCTGATCGTTATAATGAGTAATATTAGTATTAGTAATTTATCAAACTAAGAACTGCAGAAGAAATGTTAATCCACGTCGGTGGCTTACTGTTCGCCTGAGCAGCAAGGTGAATAGAGGACGCAAGGGGAACTTTTGGGGAAGAAGGGGGAAGGGGGGGGGGGGGCTAAACTGCAAGTAAGAGTGTGAAATGAACCAGAATATATAATATAGTAATAATAGTTGAGCTAATCATACACCTTGGAATGTTAATGCAGTCTTGTGACTTCAGTATGTAGGAGTAAAATCCCCTGTGCCCAGTCACAAGGTAGTGACTCAAACGCGTGGGCGGGGAGGGATAGAAGTCCGACCACTTTCTTTTCCTTTGCATAACTCTGTAATTTTAACCCCTGGAATTTGCTTCCCCCCACACAGGTGAGTGGGAGAGGGAGAGAGGTTGACTTTTCAAAAATTAAAGTCAACATTTTCAACAATATCATCATCAAGGGCAGTCTTGTGACTCTGGTCTGTTGTTTGTGAAAAGCACGTTTGTATGGTGTATTTAGGGTTTACTCGTGGGCGGCAAGGGAGATAGGGCTCTTTAAAAATTTGTTTGCTGTCTTTTGGACAGAGTAGTGTTATGTTCAAACTTGGTTTTATGGTCAATCAGCACCACGTCAAATAAGTTGATAGTAAAAACAGTGTAGGGTGTGTGCTGAGGTAAAAGGTTTGCTGAAAGTCTGGCCTTTTAAGATTTTTGAGTGCCAATCAAACTCTGGCATTGCCATCTCCATATGGATTAGGACAGCCTAAAGCTAGGGCAATAAGCAACTTTTTTTACTATTTTGTAAAAAAGTTTTTTGGCGAAATTATGCAAATAGTTATAGATTAGTTTTTATCAACTCTTTTATTTTTTATTTTATTTTTTTGTGTTCTTATCTTTTCATGCAGGGAAAAGATATTGGGTAGTTACTGTTCAAAGAAGATGTGCATAACGCTCGAATTTTTCGCACAAAATAATTTTATTGTTATAATGATTGTATTACTATTTTTCTGTAGTTGAACTGTTCTCAAATATTTGTCTTTACTAGGAATTCAAAGTCGTCTCTTTCAGCTTAGTTTGAGAACAGATTTCCAATGTGTTTTTTCATCCTATTCTTTGATAGATAAACTTTTTACTTTTTGAAAATACCAAAAGTATTAAAAACTCTTCTTCACAAAATTTGTTTTTTAAACTTAAAAGTTGCTTTTAAAGTCGAATTTTACCACAAAGCCCAATCCAATGCCACCATATAGCTTCAAATAGTACAATTTAGAGAAGTGCAAAAAATCACACCAATTCTTAACATTTTCATTTTCCAGATTGGTCCACAAAAAACTGCCTCAGAGTTGAATTAATTGATAATTAACATTTTTAATTTTGGTCCATGGCACAGGGCCATTATAAAGTTCAGTGCAAAAGTTAGGGAAGAAAAGTTCTAAGGATAAACCCGGGAGATAAACTAGAATTCATGTAATGTTATTGATCAAGTAAACTCTTTGATAAGAAGTGCCCACTCACGGTAGATAAAACTTCTGAGAGCTACATTTGATGATTTAGACAAGTATTGCACAATATTTGTGATGTAGTTTATTTTCAGTTGCAGTTTTATTTAGGGGATGGGGGAAGGGTGACACAAAATTTGAGCAAGATAATTTACAGCCACAATTTTTAAGTTGCTGTGTTCTTTTTGTACTCTGGCTTGGTTTTGTATTGGTTTTGAAGTTTTCCTTTTCTTCCCTACAATTTATGAAAGATAATGAGCTTTAGTGCAGTGTTATTCAAGCTGTCAGTTGCTATGTTCTTGTCATCTTGCTTTGTTAAAAGTAGATATATAAGTTTTTACTTTCGATTTCCTTTTTTCCTAATTGTGCATTTTAAAACTGTGTGATGAAGGAAGCATTTAGCAGGACATGTTTAGAGTAATTTGGAACTTCCCCTATAGATATCACATAAGTCTTTTATCCTTGGGTCAATGAACTATTGGATTTGTGAATTATAAAACACAAACTAATTGCTGTTTTCTCTTAAAAATTCTTCATTGTATTTTTTCAAAAGAAATTTCCACAGTAGGAAAATAAAATGTTTGTCGTTAGCTTTTCTACTTTGTTTTAGATATCAAAGATGCCAAGTTACATCATTTTTTTGAAGTTGATTATTTTTTAAAGAGCATTTGACATCAATGTTTTCCCTGATTCCATATTTGTTATAAATCAAGTTTCATACAGAAAAAGATTTTGTGGAAGAGGCTTGTATTGAGTGACAAAGGATTGATTTTTAAAATCTTCAAATTTGATGAAAATATTAAGTTTAATTTAGTTAAGAACAGGCTTTTTATAGAAAAAGAGAAGAGATCTTTTTATTTATCAAGTTTTTATTCATTTTTGAGGATGACTTGTGGCTGATGCACTTTATTCCTTGGAAGAAGGAGGGTGGTTGGCATGAGTTTATTTCCGAGGCTGCCCTTCTTTTGTCTTATGGTCAGAATTTCTTTATTTCAGCGACATTTATTTAGTTAAAGAATAAAAGAAGAACATAAATAGTTCTATTTACCTACAACAGTAAGCAGATCTTGTGAAAGTTTTTAGATGCTACACAGTCAAATTATTAACCTTTATCTCTGTTTCTTTATCTTCCAACTTTTGAAAAGAATTATCCAAACCTTTAGATCCAAAGCTTGGCCATTATAAGTAGAAGATATTATACAACAATACTACTTCACTCAAGTTACGAAGCATTGTCTTTTAAGTTTCCTGCTATGAAAATGGAACTTCATAATGCTGATCACCAATCGCTTCAGTGCATTTATTTTACCAAGATATTTTAAAGGTAAAATAGGCAAATGTTGGAAGTAAAGTCTCCATCAAAATACATTTCCTTGTTCTTTTAACTGAACAATTTTTCTTTTAAAAGTGTTGTATTTTTCTTCACATTCCACCAACTATTCAGAGACTTGGACATATATTGGATGGATTAAAAAAGAATAGAATTTCGTTTATTGCTGTGACATAGCACTGTGTCTTTTGAACTTATTAACTTGAGTCGATAGCTTCATAATACTCATGGGCTGTAAAACTGACTAAAACGAAAGTCTTATAAAGCAAGATATAACAGAATTTTGAATCAGTCATACATGAAAAACTGTGGCCCTTTTTTCCCTTCAGTCTAATACAGATAATTTATTAAAATTCATTGTTGTTGGCGATTAGTTAATTAAATGACAGGTGATTGAGAATGTGCTGAAGATTTGAATAGGGTAAGAAATTGCAAAAATATGACCAGTTGTAATCGAGTCAAAGGTCATTGTGAGGTCAGAGGTGCAGTTAAAGACATCTTTTCTGGATGTAGTGGACACATTTATCTAGACTACAACCACAGGAGGTTGATGATATAGACGTTTTGATATGAAGAAAGAAGCTGCTTTGAAAGATAAGTGGGTGACCAGCAAATGTCGGTAGATATAGGTAAGGAAGATACTAGGTTGATATGTTGGTAGGTAGGAGGGGAGGTAAGTAGGTAAGGAGGGTACTAGGTACTGTTTTTTTTTTTTTTTGGGGGGGGGTAATACACTTTTAAACTGGCAAAGGTCTGTTCTTGTTAAGATTTTATCTAGGTATACAAAAGGTTCATGGTAAAAGGTCCGCTTTTTCAGAAAAGACCCCCCCCTTGAAATTGCTGGCTGCGGGCCTGTACAAATAGTTTTTGATGAAGGACATCTAAACAGTTCATAAACCTAAAAAAGTATGCGCAACATTTCAACTTCAAAGCAGTGGATTTATACTTTTTATCTGCTCTTTTTGGCAAACCATCAGAATTTCTTGAAATTCTTTTTTGTTATTTAAATTGTTCAGATTAAAATTTCTGAATTGCCTTATAGGACTTGACCAAGAGGAAGAACCAAGTTTCACACACAAAAAATATAATTTGATTTTCACCATTTTTAAATAATTAAAATAAATGTCTAAAAAATGCTAATTAAAACTCTTATTTTGACAGACTCTTTGGATCAAAGTTGACTAAAATTTTTTCTTTAACTCTAATTAAAGATGTTATGTGCATAGAAGGCACCATCGGACCCTTTCTTAGAGGGGATCTGTTAAAGTGAAAAATGTGTTAAAACAGATTTTATTCAAAGAATAGTGACACAGTTAGACAATGCAACTCACGGATGGAAGTCTTGGGGATTCACTGGAAGAAAGGAAAAGGAAAAGAGACGAGAATGACTCAATTGTAGGAAGTTTTAAGTGGTAGAAAAGGAAATTGCGTATTGAAAGTGAATTCAGACAGTTAGTGCGGGATTCTAATGTTCTTCCATGTTTAATAGAAATATTTACATTTATGTGCAAGTTATATACATAATATGGTTGGAAGAATGAAAAAGTAATTGCTCAGTGCATCTGCTGGGGGTATGCTTTTGGGATGGGCAGGGGGGGGGGTTCTTAATACAATTTTTTTTAAAGTTGTAACTGAATAACTTTAGATTTAACTTCTTAGTTTTCATGACTGTTACATATAAATGTGTTTTAAATATTATAGTTCAAACATTATTAAATTATCGCTTGGTTTGCAGTGGCATTAACTAATTCTAGAGATATTTTTAATGTGTGTTACTGAAATGAATATATTATATTTATATTGAATCAAGTCTGCGTTGCACAACTTTTTTTTTGTACATTTCAAAATCACCTTATTTCCTGTGTTTATATGTTTGAGTTTCTGTACATATGTGTACATTCATGCATTCGTGCGCCCAACTTGTGACCAATTTCTGTGAGAGAAAATTGGCAGACGCCCCCCTCACAGCATTTCATGACTGGGGGAAAACAAATGAAATCATGGTTCTCTTTTATAAAACTCAAAGAATTCTTTTTGTATATCAAAAAATAATGTCTGAAAAATGGATCAGAGTCATTCTATAAAAAAACTTATTAATTGGAGGATTTGTATTAAATAAGTAAAAGATATGTGTTAATTTAACCAAGAGCGAAAGATTTCACACACAACTGTTTTTAGAGATGTTGTAATGAATTTTTTTTTTTTTGAAAAGGCTCCAGTTGTAATAGTTATATGGCTGGCAACATGAACAGGAATATGAACAGTAACATTTTCGCTGAACTGGAAATGGGAATTGTTCATTGTCAAACAGTGTGCAAATGTCTGATTACAGTAATGACTGAAAGCTTTTAAAATCGGCAAAATCAGAATAGTTCTTTCTGTCCTATCCTCTCTAAGTATGGGGCCGTGTGAGGATGTTTGACTTAGTGCACATGTCTGTGTATTTGGAGGGGGGGGGGCAGGAAATAAGTGATTATTTGTTTAAGTGCATGTGTGTGTGTGTTTGTGTGCGTGCATGCATGTTGACCCTGTTTGACCAATTTTTGTCACAAATTTTTGTGAAAGGATACCCCCCCCCCTCCCGACCATCCTATATGTTTGTCCCTTCAAACTTTGTTTTCAAGTTTGATCGCAAGGATTTGCTTTGCAAATACGAGATAACCCAAAAGAAACATCTTTTGATATGTAATAGATATAAAAATGTGTTATCAGGAGAAAAGTACACCAGTAGTTGCGGTGAAAGTAAACATGTTGTGGAGAAATGTTCCGTTAGGAAATATTTATGTCAATTTTGTTTTCTTAAACCTGATTTTCTCTGTTTAAATAGCCTTTTTTTCTGTCCCAAGGGCACAGTGTCTTTTTAAAGCAATAAAATAATTACTATGCTCAAAATAAGCATTCAGTCTCTCCTCTGTCTGTCTCTTTTGAATGCGTATTTAAGTTGATTGGAAATAAATAATAGATTGTACATACAAGAAAATTTACTTTTCATTTTTGCATTGAGGTTCCTTGTCAGACCCCTTCAATAAAAGTGGTTAGCTTTGAATAAAAGCTATTTAATACTCTAGGTTTTTCATTTCTTTCTTGAAAGAGAAATTTCTTTTCCTTAAAATTGGCACTGATGTATCTAGGGGCGAATGTGTACAGCTTAAGAAATTAATTTTGCCGAGGACAGAAGAGATGATGGTATAATTGTCCATTGTGAAATGAAAGGCTAATATATGATTTAAAAAATACATTTTCGTAGTTTATTTTCTTGCATGTGCAAACTGTAGGCATGTAAATTTTGTTTAGACTTTTCTTACAATTTGAATATGATGAGTTGTGTTTCCTGAAAGAAGATTTGTTTATTTATGTCTTAAAAACGAAGACTCAAAAGTTTTGAAAAGTGAGTTGGAATAATGTTAGAAGGTTCGTTTTTTTTCCAAAAAAGTGAATAGAAGTGCTAGAGACAGAAACTCACTCCCTCTCTCCCTCCAGTCTTGTTTTACCATGAGTGTTTTACAAAGTTCACACACTGAAGTATTCTGATTGTAAAAAGATGATCACGCCGCGGCTCCATGTTCAAGCGTGCATACTCCAAACCCCCCAGTGTTACATTTATATAGAAAGAGTCCCCAACTTCAATCTTTTCACCCCCTTTAAGGACCCACAGAATGACTTCTCCTAACAACTTGAAAGAACTGTAAAAACATCAGAAGGAAGAGGTAAAGTCAAGTACACTGAATGTGGAAGCAAAATAAACCCAAACAGAACAAAACCAGGTACAAAAAGCACTGGGGTCAAGGAAATGGCTGACAATTGGTATCATTGTCTGTGTTAAGAAAAACTTGGCAATTTTTGTGCTCAAGGGGAGTTTTTAAATGAAGTTGACTCAGTGCAAGATGCAGAGAAAAAGGAAGGTCACTTCAGCACGAGATGAACAGCATGTATGAGAGTGACCTTGGTTTTGAATCCTAAAGTGATGATATTTTAGATTAAAAAGGAGGGGAGTTTGAGCTAGAATAAAACAAGTTTGCCTAGTCAACCAATAGACCCTCAAATCCTACAAATCCTCCTCAGAAATTTAGAACTGGAATACCACAAAAAAGGGTTACATAGCTATCAGGTAAATCTATTCACCTGCAGAATTTCCATTGCTTTGTTTCGTTTGAGGAAAAGAAACTGAACTGAAAAGTTTAAGATTCTGTTCTGATGATCTGGGAATAAATGGATTAAATGCAGCGAGGGGTCAAGCTGTAAAAATGTGATGGAGGGTCAGTTTTTAAAAGACCTTATCAACGTTGCTTTGTAACCTTATGCTCTCATAGTACCCCTCCCCCCCCCCCTTTCAGCAAATTGTTCTATTCATGGAAAAATGTTTGAAGGCAAATTTACCGTAAAGTGAAAAAAAGGTGAAGCTCAAAACGTTATTGTTTCTGAGACGTTGTTGCTTTAAAATTTTCAAATACTCATTTTATTGTAAACTGGAGGCAGAGCATGGACACATTAAAATAATTAAGCTGGTGATTGCACAGCATGTAAACTGAGCAACTTCACTTTTGCTTATCAGTGTGAGGTGGCATCACACATATCTGAGCTTAAATATATGTAGACGGGTGTTTCTAGTGTGAGGCTCCTTGACTCAAATCTATCAAAAGTTGCTGCGATCTAAATAACCTTAATGTTGAAGCATTCCACAAGTCTGGTCCTAATGGTTAGGAGGTCATGTAAGTACATGGGAATTTGGGCAATTGCTGTCTGCTGCCATTGAGGCGTAACCGTGACTTGTTGAATGATATATGCTCCATTATTTAAACACCAGCGAAGTGGTTGTAAATTGGGAGAGAGGAAAGGAGCTTGATAATTATTTCTGCTAATGTGTAAAACAAAAATTGAAAATTTTGTAGTGGATATATTTCAGCAGGGAACTTTGATTAAGGAACAGAACTGTTTTTTTTTTTTTCTGTGATAAGTGGATAGTTAAGATGTTTTATTAATTAAAACCTTTCCCACAGAATTTGTCTTTAAAAATTATTGAAAATATAATTCACTTGTTTGAAGTACATTATTAGGGCAGCTTGAAGGTTTGTCTGTTAGTCTGAATATGAAGTTAATTGTTTTGAAAATTAATTCATCATTTCAAAATGACATTGGTCAGGAAAACTTCGGGCAGAATTATTGGATCGTAGAGGTTATCATGCTGCAGGCCCATCTTATCAAAGGCCGTTAAGTTCAAATTTTCACTGTTCTGAGACTTAAAACTTAAAAAAGGACATCGGAAGTTTTTAAACTAGTATATAGTACTTGATCTGTCAGTCATTTGATTTGAAAAGTCCAAATTGCCATAGGTTTCTGAGAACTATTTTTCTTTTGTCTTTTTGTCAAAGATTGTTTTTTTTATTATATTTTTCGTACATTTTTTGATGCACCCTGCATGACATAGAACTACTACAACCTTTACCACCAGTTGATGAATAAAGCAATACCTGGAAGCTCAGGATCTAACGAATTCAAAAATACACGTACAGCCGGATGATTGGAGCCTTTGATGCTTTTTACCATCACAGACAAATCATGGATATCAACATGCCGAGGAGAGGTTGAGGAAACCCACACCCTGCCCCCACCCCTGGGCAGAAAAAAAAATTGAAAAATAGAAGATAGAAAAATAACCAGTATGTCACATTTTTAGTATATGAAATATGCTTCTTATGATATTGACAGAATTCTATTTTTGTTCTTTTCAGAGCAGTGGAAGAGGTGTCAAATCAACAGAGGTATGTTAAAAAAATTCACTAAATCATGATAGATCTCCAAGTTGAAGGTAGCAACTCATTGAAATGATATATGCATTTTTCATGCATTTTGTTCATTAAAATGACAACAGTATGTTTATCTGAAACCTTAATTTGAACTTTTTGCTCTGAAACATGCTTTCATTTGAATCATATATTATTGCAAATAATCCGATATTGAATTTTTATGAAGTGTAATATTATCTCCTCCAACCTTTCTCAGCTTTTATTTCACAGGCTAATAAGGGACAAAGTTTTATCTTATTCAAATTGTATTTCTATCTTTGTATTTTTTTTCGAAATTAGAGAAAGAGCGAAGTAGAATCACAACATGAGAAAAAAGAGGAAAAGACAGAAACTTCCAGCTCTTGAGCTTCAGTTACCATGCCAACAGTAAAACCTCCCACAAGGTGTCACCACTGTTCTGTTGTGGTCACCGTGGAAACCAGTTACCATAAGAAGCAAATTAGAAATATTCAATGCCTAGGTAATATTAGCCAAGATGCTTTCAGTATGAGTGGAAGAAGAGTGGAGAATGTTCCTTTACAATCAATATCTTCCATTTTGCTATATAGCTGTGATCAGAGGCGTTAAAATGTTTTTCTTTATTAGTGAAGATTGCAGACTGTAACTGTCCGAGAGTTAATTTTATCTTCTGTCCCCCTCTCCAAATTTTATCAATAACATTTGCATAGTTACTATATTTCTGCACCCTATAACTGGTATTTTAAAGTGAAATGTGTTTGTGTGTTATTTGTTTAAGATTATTGTATTTATCTAGAACATGTAGAACTGCATAGTCACATTTACACACTGCCGCTGGAGATGACAGCGATCCAAAGTGGCACATACTTGAATTTGTATAATCAAGCAGGCACAATAGATAATAAGGTAAATGTCTCAAGAGGTAAGGTAGATTGCATTACTTCATGTGCATTCTTTGATGAAACTTATCTAGTTTGTTAAATTGTGTGCCACCTCTGTATAAATTTAACTAGTAAGGGTTACAGTCAACTTTTTAAAATTAGCTAGAGGTTGTAGAATTATCGCATACTTTAAGTGTGTTAATGCTATATATTTTAAACGGAGCCTAAAATTTCAGCATTGCTACTTGCTTGACTGAATTTATGTGAGAGGGAAATGTATAGGTGTATTTACACTAGCTCAGATAAAACGATCCAAGTGACAAGGTTCAAATTGTCTAATTTCACTTAACTTGGCTAAGTAGGTAAATTCCCAAGATTGTCTGTTGTGTTTTCATCAGTTTGATTGCAATCAGCATCAGTTTAGTGATAGCCTACATCAGTTTGAATCCATTCACAATGAAGCTAACTTAGACCTGATATCCAATGCATCGCTATATGCACAAATTAACCAGCTTGCTAGTTATATTGATAAGGATGTCTTTTGACATTAAGTGAAAATTTTTAAATCAGTTTTTGAGGTCATAGCTTTCTTCATTTGGAGAAAAATTTCCCCTTTGAGCTGCCTTGGTCATACCAATGTAAAAAATCCAAAATATTTTAGAGGTCTCCCAAAACTCTGACAGGGAATTCATTATTTAATTTTAGGATGCATGTGTAACAAAACTATTTTTGAGGAGGAGGGGCCTTTGATGTTTTGAAAGTTTTTGTATTCATTTTCCTCTCTGCAAATAGTGGAAATAGTCAACGTTGGGCTAGAAATCGGCAGTGGGGAGATTGAGATGTCCATTTTGTACAAAAGATATAAAGAATGTTTTTACTTTTTGTGAGAGTGTGATAAAATGTGTCTTTTGCCTCTGTTTTAATTAAAAAGCCCTTAGAGAGCAGAGGAAGTGATTACACGGTCTACTTCAATTTGACAGCCCTGGTTTTTTTTCCATCCTAGGGTCAAAAAAAAGAGGCTTACCAACTATGTTTGACTTACTTTTTTATTTTCGACTAGATGCATAAACGTGTGTAAAAAAAGGTCAATGCCCTTTAAGGCTAGACATTTAATTTTTTCTGTGACAATTGCTTTTATTTAGAGGTGTTTTATTAACATTTAAATCTAGTTGTTATACCTTTTACAATTGGGTGGGACACTACACTTAAAAAAAATGTTTTAACTCAGACAGTTATTTGTAATGTCCCTTTGAAATTCAAGATGCATGACTGAAAACATGAAAGATTATAACTTACATTTAGTTGTACTTTGGTAGCAGAATTTATTTTGCTAACAACAAACATGCTTAGATAATTTCAGTGAATTTTAAGCGACGCATCTTTCAACAGAATGCAATGGCTATTTTAGGACGTCACAAACAAAACATTTAATGTATTTGGTTTGTCTGCTGGTCAGACATACCAACAGTATACTATTTACAGAAACAAAATAAAGAAGAAAAATTTATGAAAACATTTTAAATTGGGACAAAAGACAGCAAAAGAAATATAATGGAATTGGAATTTTGAGGCTTGGTCATTCTTTTTGCACATGCATTTTACGAATTTGAAGAAATTAGTAGTTAAATGCTTATTAATGTTTTGATTAGTAGTACTTTGTGAAAGTATTTTAAGAACAATATATTCCTTTGAGATAAATAGGAAAATATGCTTGGAGCAGTTTTTAATTGTAACAATTTTAATCCATGTACACAATCTTAAGAACAAAAATCAATTAAGTTAAGGCAAAATGTTAACCACCTGTCAATCAGTGATATACTGTTGAAAACCTCGTATACTAAGTGATGGTTTGAAATTAGATTTTATCATCACATAAGTTTTTAACTTTTATCAACCATTTTCATTTATTCTTTGACATCTATTCACCAATTTTTTGACTGAGCCCCAGTCACATAAGAAGTAATGGTATCAGAAACTAAGTCACCACATATTTGTATTTTATTTTACTGTGGTTAGATGTAGAAAGTATCTGAGATTTTTCCCGCAAAATATTGCAACAGCCTGTACAACAACAAAAGACTAGGTAAATTCATAACTAATGTCGCAGTTTTTCAATGTTTAAAGTTTTACAAACATATAACATAGTAACTTCCAAAATTCAACGTGATTTCCAAATTTATCCATCTGCAAATATGTTGAATTTTGTAGCAACCAGACAGCTGTCTAAAGTTTAAGTATTTCATACGGAGAATGTGTCAAAGAGAAATACCCTACCATACATCATTTTGGTTAATGTGCCCCTTGCTCTCTATGACAGGGCCAATGTTTAACAATTGCTCTAGCTATTTACCTTTACATTGAAAGAATTTTAAAATGACACCTCTTCTACCTGAGTGTGCTAGATGTTGCTGGAGAAAAATTAATGGAGACTGACTGAGTGAAACGACTCCACTTTGAGGTTGCATATATGTCTGTGTGTCTCCACGTATGAGCACATTGGCAAGCATGCGTGTGCGAATGCAAGTGTGGAAAAAGTTCTTGAAATGTGTAAGGGACTAATATGAGGATTGCGGTTGAGGGAGGGGGGTGGGGGGGTGGGCAGAAGCACCAAAGGGGTTTGTTATGGATAGAATAATGATGTAACTAATAGTGTGGAATTTTGCATCCAAATAGAGGTTGATGTTTATTTCAATGTAATTGTCTCATATCCTTTTATATTCTCTTGAAACAAAGAACAATTTGTGTCATGCACCCCCCCCCCCACTGCCCCCTAAACCTCCATCCATTTCTACAGTGTTATTGAATCACATTTTGTTGTGCTCATCTACTGCAATGCTGGAGTTGAGATAAAAAAACATTGCATATATATCTAATAATAAGCACATCCTTGTTGGCAAATTGCTTAAGATTATTTTAAAGAGAGTGGTCCACCCTTTTCAAAATGCAAACAAGAATAGTATATTTTAGGGCTTTATATTTCATAGCTTAGATATTATATATATAAATGTGTCAGAGAGGGAAAAACTGGTGTGTTAGAAACTGCCTTGCCCAAACCATAAAATGGCTTTATTGATAATATATAAAGTTTATGATATAGATATACAGTATGATAGTGTCCTCTATAAACATTTAGGAATTATATCCTTAGCATAAGATATATAATATGATATCATATTAAATAGCAGTGCACAATAATGCAGATTATTTAGCCCTACCTCCATGCTGATGTAAGTCAACATGTGAACAGAGCTGTAACAATGTTAATGGTGTTGTTTCCATGGTGACTGTTACATAGCAACTGTAACCATGGAAACCGAGTGGTGAAAATGAAGTCCACTTAAAACAGTATTTTGAAGAGAGGGCGAGGGGTCATTTGTATTTAAGAGTCATGTCGTCTTAACGTTTTTATTTGCTGTGTCTGTTCAGATATTTTATATCTATTTTATTTTAATGAGACTTTTAGTTTTTTTCAAAATAGTTGTTTCGTACTACAAATGATCACATCGAACATTACATCAAACTTGTAAAGTTTCCAAAACTAAATGTAGATTTTATTGAAATATGCTTTGGTTTTTATAATACATTGTTGCCTTTAGTGATCCTTTTTTTTTTTCATATTCTCTTAGACCCCATTCCCATACACTCCATATATCTAAGACTCAACTGTGTCATGCCTCCTGATGGCATCAAGTAGAATACAGAGGAACTGGTGTTTATACAAGTATGTTGGAAATGAGGAGAGGCATGTCACTCAGCTAAGCTGATTGCACTTAGCAAAAGACCCTGCAGAGTTGGGTGTATCCATGTAGACTAATGGTGTCTATGGGAATGGGATCTTATATCTACATTGGATATATAAATGGAGGAAAGCTCCAAAATTAAGGCCTTATAACAGACATTTCATTGCCACCATGTGTGTTCAATCCAGGCAAGTTCATAACAGAGATTGTTCTAGAAAACTTTCCACAAAGAAGCTCTGCCCCTAAAGATACAAATGTCTGTCCCTATACATGCAGTCTTTTGACACGTCCAGTACAGACAGCTGAAAGAAGCACAAGTTACAAGAAAACAAATATATTTAGGCTGATGTAATCTAGAACCACTGAATCTTCAAAGTCACGAACATTTTGACCAATAAACCTTTGCACCTCTGAAAGCAACTTGGTGTTGCTCTGCTAATTTTGACCAATCTGAAAACTCCCCCATGATCAAAATCATTACAACGAGGAATTTATATTTGATGGATCTTTTTAGTGTATATTGAGTACAGTATACAGGGTGTCGCCAGTCACAATTTGCCTATTGTCACTATGCTTCTTGGGCTTTGTGCTTTTATTTTCTGGAACAATCTTAAAAGTCTGGGCTCTCCATCTTTACCTACAGTGTCTTCTATCTGTTACAGCACTGTTCATGCTTTGGCTGATACAAATACAGGATTTTTTTTAAAGAAAAAGAAGTCTTTTATTCTTTAATTGTATTGTACATATTTACCAAGACCAGCCATGATTGTACCCCATATATTGCCATACGACGATAATTACTATTGTATAAATATAAATTTGATCTTATGCTGATTATCAGTCCACTAGGGGCTTGGACAGTGGTCAGTGGTCGGACAGTGGTCAGACTGGGGTGGATCCGGAGATATTTTCTGACAGTCTTCCAAATTATCTTTGTCGGCACATCCTCCAATTTTGACAGTTTTCTGACATAAAAAAAAAAAAAAATTAGATGCCCATCAATGTAAACTTCATGAAGACCCAGCAAACAGCTTCCAACTGCCCCTGATGCAGTGAGATCGCAATCTTCTCCCTTATCAAAAACTGTGGGCTTTTTGCAAACTGTTGCTGCAAATTTGCAGGAAGGAATCTATGTAGTAAATGTACTAAATGTTGTACAAACACCGTTTAGAATTTCAAAAAAGAAATAGAAGAGATTTAAACAGCATGTGGCACTGGCACTGGCAGTGTTATGTCTTTTGATCAAATCTGAAAGAGAAAAGTAATTAAGACAACACACACACAAACTTTTTTCTATGTCCACTTGACCACTCTGATCACTATCTAAGTCTCCTTTTGGGTCAGGTACAAATGTGATATGATTCAAATACAGGAGAAATTATTTTTAATTTGTACCTCCATATGTTGCTGTACCCATCATATTGTTTTACAAGTATATATCATATAACAGCAAAAACCATAGTTACCATGTACTGTAGGTAGGATATACAACTCGTATAATTAAAAAGGACGTAGAGTATGTTTACCAATGTGAGCCATGATTCAAATTTTTAAGGGTCGCCATTTTGTCATTTTATTTACTGTTATAAGCAATAGATGTGAAATTTGGTTGTCTAAAATGCACTCACGAAATCACAGCAAAGAAATTGGCAGAAGGCATTTGTGCAGAAAATAAGTGAATGTTCCTGAAAATGCAAGCAGTTAAAGTATACCCTATCCAAAAGTGACGAAAAAAAATTAACAAATTTATTGAAAATCTATTAACCTATTTTTGAGCTCTTAATTTCTATTTTTCCATGATTAAAAATGAAATTCACCAGTCTCTCTCTATATATCCATCCACGAGTTGGTAAGAACTCAAAACTGGATTTATAGTGGTTTTGTATTACAATCTTAAAATTAATATATCTTAGCTTAATTTCATTGAATTGAATACTTAATCTCCACTTGAAATGATCACAATACCAGGTGTATTTCTGTCTGCTGTTCCTCTCATGAGACAATTATAAGAACTTTCATAACAAGTAGTACTTTTTGTAATTTTTTGCAAAGAAGTGGTTGAAGAACTATGAGAGAACAATGCATGGTTACTTGTATAATTATGGGAATTGAAATATCAGTGGTCAAATCATTTTTGAATTTATTGATATTGAACAGGGACAAATTTTACATTAATGATCTTCTTGAAAGCTTACATATCACTTTGGTTTGTTCCGTAAGAGAACTGCATATATATATTTTGAATCTTTGTACTATGTAAAAAGACAGAATATTACTTTTATAATAAAGTTAGATACTTAAAATTATCGATCAATGTTTGTCGCTTGCTAGAAGGTAGGTATGATTTTATTTGGCATGTTGCTGGTTTGTGTCAGGCATTTTTTTATTTTTCAAGCAGTGATAAGTACTTAAAAGAGGCCAGAACA